AACGGTTGTGGGATTTTTTAGATTTTTTGTGAAGGAATTTGGAGATTTAACACGAACGTAACGTAGACGAAGTCGATGAGGATGTGTACGGGTGTCATAGAAATTGATTTTATTGGTGATTTCTTTGCGTGAGACGGAGGAATTGAAAATGTGGAGAAGTGGAAGTAGAGGATGGGTGGTTTAATGTGTTGGCTGATGGACCAGACTTTCACTTTTCCTTCCCTGTGTGCTAACGTATCAAACGTATTAATGTTTCGTGGAACGGCTATAGTCGCTCTTCATGAAACGTTGTTCATAGACTATTATATTTTATCCATTTTGCATGAAGTTATTAGTGTGTACTCATTGAACAGTTCTTAAACCGTTGAAGTACATTTAACCTTCGATTACTAAATTATTCTATGACTTATGTTATTACTATTCATTCGTAAAAATGATTAAATGGAAACATATAATATTTTAGAATAATATTATTTTTGTTGAGATAAAAACGTACGTTATATATATTTATGATAAGCAGACTTAAGAATAATGAAAAATTAAGAGAGTAATTATACAGTACATTCTGCACACACGTTGATAACATTGACGTAATGTACCGATTTCAGAGAATTGCAAATTCGAGTTTGTAATTTTTACGATAGTTCAGTAAGCCAGGATTAACTTTAAATTTTATTACGATTCGGATTCTACTGAACGTTTGTTTTTTATTTAAAGATTACTTACAATTTAATATCTAAATGTTTGGAAGCATTGCTAATTTTTATATTGCTCCAAAGTATTATGTCGTATAGTCGTATTATGTGATACGTTTCGCAGCAGATATGTCCGTATCGAAAGAAGTCAAAGAAGCCCTAAAATCATCTGACATTAGTAAAAACCAACCATTCATACAAACAACTTATTTCATATTGTAATATTTGCATCAATAAAATACTAGAAGACAAAATATGACTCCCTATCGTATCACATAGCAATCAACATATTAAGTAATTAATCGATTGGTATTTAAAGCAAATAAATTTATATACATCGCCGAAAATAAGCACAGACTAACATTCATATTACCTGCAAAATTCACGGTGCATAAAAACCAGTATAACACACGCAGTTAGAAATCTTCTGGGAGAACAACGTCGTACATTTTCAACGCCGGAGTAAAAAATGTCCCCATACCTTCTTCATACAACAATTAATCAGTCCCTAAGTAATCTACACGATCAAAGCCTAACGAACTCTCTTCCTCGAGTCAATCATCGTCACTTGAATCTTTCATTAGCCGAAGCACACAATGGAAAGAAGGTCGCGGCGTTGACAACTGCAACGACCCCGAGCACACGGGATCGTTGAGAAGGAGCCCGTTTCGCCCGACGGAGAGGTCACCGTTCACCGTCGAGAGAGGACGATAAATCTTGTTTCCTTCCGTGTCGATGGGCAGACACCTTCGTGCGCCCGAAAGAATGAGTTCATATCTTCGGGGGCAGAATCGAGTTCATATTAGCCCCATCTGCCTTCTCCCGGGGGTGAGAAGGGCTTCTGCATGAACGATCAAGCACACAGGGACGACACGTCGACAGACAAAACCGTGGCGGACGAGCAGGATCGACGAACGAACGGACGGCGTAAAATACATCCGGATTATGTTCGGCCAATTGATCACGAATCCGACGACGCATTGCCGCGCCTCTCGTGTTTGCTACACATCGACGGACATACATACCGTGGAGCTCTTTCACCGTCGCCTCTGTCCGCTGCCAAAAGTCCCGATAAATTATTTATGACGGTGAACAAAACGTCTGCGTTTCTCCTTCGTGTGCAGTTCGACGTTATACAAAATGATTCGACAGAACTAGAATTGATCCAGGACTCTGTTGTATGCTTTCAGATTTTGGATCCTGTGAATCGTTAGCTTTTACCGTTAGCTCTACAAATATTACGATTTATTCATTAGTTGAATAAACATTCAGTTGAATAGAATTTTATATATAAATATTACTGTAAGAACATTTGCAGTTACAAAGTCTAGCCCATTGTCGAATTTAAGGCGACAATATCGGACATGGTTTCTCAATCATCCTCCATCAATTCCAAAGCAATAAATTTGCATGAACCTAATAGAACTTCGGCCGGGATAGAACAAGTCTCCGTCGTCTTTACGATCCATTACGAGTTTAACTGACCGGGACGGGGACTATCGATCGATGACGGAGAACCAGGGAGAATCGACACGTTGGAGTGACGCAATTCTTACGATTCCCCGGGTACCAAGGTGTGTATATCGTGTGTCGTACCTTGAAGCACGAGGGGGGGGGGGAACTGACACCGTCATCATCGACTATCTGGCTCGTAAAAAAGCACCATAGAGGACCGTAGGCTCGGAGCGTAGCGGACTTTCCCAGATTTGTAGCCGCCTTCGTTCACCGGGCCAGCATTATCTCGATAAAATGAAATCGGTCGTTAAACGAGGAAGCGAGACGGTGCCGAGGGGGGTGCGAGAGAGGAGACGCGACCACAAAAAAGCGCCAGGGCTCCGGAGAATTCATAGGGTCAAGGCGGCGGGTAGAGGGGTCGAAACGAGGAGCAAAGGTAGAGAGACAAGAGTGGGAGAAAGTGAGAGAGGGATCAGGAGCAGGAGAAGAAGAAGCGTTTTACGTTCGAAACCAGTTTCTATGGTTTAATTTTTACGGGTGGACATCTTCTTTAATTTATGGCACCGTCCAACCCCGTCCTTCCTGCCCTCCTACTCTTCCACCTCTGTTGAACGCCTTTCGACATTTTATTGGGTCGGCCGGGTTTCTGTGACTCGTCGGGATTCCGTTCGCCGCGAGAACATTCGAACCTAGAGGGATTCAGAAGACGGTGCCCCGATCGATGGTGCGCGCTCACCTGTGTATATACCATCATTCCGGTTCCTAGGCCATCTCTCATCGGGTTAGCTTTGCGATTAGCCCGCTGGTCTAATTGCCCCCGTGATTTCGCAAGGTCGATCCGTTCCCAGCCACCGTCGTTGTGGAAGCGACAAGATCAACGGGGATTCCCGCGCCTCCGTCCGGCCCTGGGTGATCCAACGCGTGTGTTTATCGGATCTGTACGTTAATTGAACCAGCGAGCCGGGTAATAGCTATCATTACGAGCGCTTACGTCTTGCAGGCCAGCAACTAAATTATATGGGCGAGTACACACGGCGGTACAGATACGTCGCGGGGCCAAGCGTGCGCGGGCTGGCTGTTGGAACGGGAATCTAGTCATCTGCGAGGATTCGGTTTTGAAACTTCAGTTGAAAACGAAAGGGACAGCTGACCAGCCAAGGAAGCGTTGGAATCTGTTTATGGGTGGAGCGTAATGACACGGAAATGGCGAGGATATAGACTCTTTTCAGGATTAAGTTAAATAATTTCAGGGAATTACTGACTGGCGAGTTGTTACGTTGATCGCGATTATTCTCGATTAGAAATAATGATAGGTCAACAGGAATATCGAGAGGTATTCTAGAACTACTGATTATACAATCGATACTCGGTAAAAAACTGAAATTTGTAGAAGGAAATTGTATGACTGAAACTCACGCGTTGAAACAACCAGAGTCTCATTAAAATCACCGGAATTTATACGAAATTCGTTAATCCGTTGTGTACGTATGCAGTTAGGTAATTGTAAGGTACGCTTCGTCGAGCAACGCTATTTATAACGCCTGCCGTGTTTGTATACACTGCGCGATTTTCTCGTGCGTCTTATTTACGCGAACTGTCAGTGTTCATCGTGCTATCACGACGATGAGATACAGAAACAATGAATACGTCGAAATGATCCAGGCCTTGAGTGAGTATAACAAATATTCAAAATGGGCTTCATCAAAAACAAAGCTCCAGAAAGGATGCTTTTACTCGACACTTCTAATCACCAGCTGTGGCATCCTTTCGATCGCACTCTGTGTGCACAAAATATTCTACAATGAAGCCAAATTTATTCACAAACCAGCCCTCGTAGAATGAATTCCGTGACATTTCTTACGAATCGTTAAAACGAAAGAAAAAAAAAAAAACAAAACAAAAGTTCTTATGTCTACGATCAACATACAAGAGATCATCGTACAGGCGACTCCGTTCGTGTTCTCAGGCAAGGTAGAAGCTGTCCGCCGTGCAGCCGGCGATCGTTTCCCTGCGGGGGCTTCGCCGGCACAGTGTACACACGAGGAAACGGTAGAAGACTTTGCGGAGTGGAGGAGCGTACGATCGCCAGAAGAAGTGGGGGATCGATGGGTGGTACCTGGCCAGCCGGTCTTCTGGGACCGCGAGGGAGCGGATTGGCGGACGGAACGGGCCCGAACGGGGCCTATTGGCGGAGAGCGGGACGGGCGTGAACCGATGGGCAGGTTCAGGTGGTCCCCCCTCCCTCCCCGTTTGCCAGCGGGAAGGAAAATCGGTTCCCGTCGGTAGAACCGTGTGGGCTTCTCCTTAGGCGCCTTCGATGCAGTCGAACAGGTCGCAGCGATCGCGAAGCGCCAGTCCTCTCCCGTCCATCGACGTGGCCGCACCGTGACTCGTGGATGTTCGAGAGAGACAGATAGAGTCGAGATTGAGGAAAAATTGTCGGAAGGGATCAACGGGGACGGGTCGAGCAGGAGAGAGGGACAGAGACAGAGAGACTGAACCGGTGGTGGAGGAGAGACCACTTTGAAGCTACGACCGGACCCGCGTGGATCGTCGTCGATCAGAGTACTCGGCGGTCATTCGACGGATTTGCATCGAAGGGGTACCGTGTGTCGGTCGCGTGTCCTTCGAGGGGGTGAAAGATCGGTCCGGTCGTCGTCGAAGGTGAACGATTCTTGTGTGATCACAGAACGTATTTCCGGGTGAGGGAGATCGTGTAAACACCACGAGACCCGGCGGTGTTTACCACGTGACCACGCGACAGGACAGAACTGTTCTTCGGGGAAGTGTGTGTACGGTTGATCGGGAAACGATTTTACTCGACGATCGAAGATTTTCCGTCGTGTATCGTCGGGAGGAGGAGAGAAGAAAACGGAAGGTTATGGTGTGTAACGTGTGATCGAGGAACTTGGACGATCGGTTGTTCCGGAGAAGAAGGTTAATATTAAAGTTTGTGGTTGCGGAGAGGAGAACCGATTGGGCCCTGCTTGTTTGGATATCGTCTGACTGCGAAGGTGAGTGGAGCTGAATCGTTTCGATCTATGTACCGTGGTGAACTAGTTTCGTACGCGGGCGTTGATGTCCTCGGACCCTGTCGACACTACGTTTGAACTCTCCCGCGCTCTATTGTCCCGTCGTTGGAGTCGAACGGAAATTTGTGACAAATCGTACACAGTGTCGCTGATCGTTTCGTTAGTAGTTTCGATGAATTTATGGGATCGAAGTGAAAGAAAAACCGAGTGTTCCCATCGTGAACAGCTTCGCGGCGGGAAATTGTCGGCGAACCACTCGCGAAACGGTGGGCACCAGGGTGGAAAAGGCTGCACTAATGATAGTTATAAAAACGAAGAAAATAAATCACGCGCATTCAGCCGGTAATCACCGGCGTTTCGTCAATCTTAGAGTCCATTCACCGCTCCATTTATCTGTCGTAAATTAAAGTCTACATCCAAAGTGGGCACCGCTGCGTTGCTCGCGATTACACCACGGCGTGAAATTGATAATGTAACCTAATAACGGGCGCGAGCACGATTGACCATTAAAAATACCCTCTCGTACCGGGTAAATTTTGATTGGAATATAATTACGGCACTGTTAGACCGTGTCCGGTGTACGCACGTTGTAACAGACTCCGTGAACGTTGTTATCCCGGCCAACAGGGTAATCTGTGACTTTTTTTCCTAATCTCTACTCTTTGCATTAAAATCGATCTATTCAAACAACAGAAATTAATCATCGATACCACAATGATTATGACACTTCATTGCCTGAAATTAACCCCTTGTCACAAAGATTTTTAATTCGATAAATAGTCATAAAAATCAGTTACGTCAATTCTAATATTATTTCTAATGTTAAGTAAAGGGGTTAAGTTCTCAGCAGTGATCAACAAAGTTTCGAGGAATTCCTCGAAAGATTTACCGTGCAGAAAAATGCGACAGATTAAATAAACGTCTTCCCCGTTCCACCAATAAGATCATCAACCGCGATTCCTGTGTACGTGTTCCCTCTGTCAGTATCTCCTTTATTCGAGATTTCGAGCACACTCGGACGCGACCCTCCCGTGTGTCAATGCGGTTGGCTGGGGTTAGTCGCAAATGAAAACATTATCGTCACCCCTCGCGGGGCCGCCTGTTGCTATAATATTTGCCTACCGGTAGTACAGCGCCCGTAATTCGGGCACACACGGTCACAATGGCCCCGACGTTCTTTCGGCCGTGGAATAAAGGCGAACGCCCAAGAGTCACGGAACCGAGGTGGCGTGCACACGCACGTGTGCGACACGGAAGGAGGGAGAAAGAGGGAGAGAAAACGGTGACGAAGAAGCGTTACAATTATTATGCATAGCTGCCCCGGCCCGGGTCTCTCCCATGTCAAAATATATTTATTGCCCCCCTCCCCTGTTCTCTCTTTGTTTCTTTTTTTTTTTACCTTGGTTGCGGTGTGTCAGCCGCCATTGTTGCCCTTTCATACGGTTATTACCCACTTGTACGGCAGAAGTCGAGAGAGGAGACCTTAGAGAAAAGTGACAAGCTGGTCTCTAAATCGCGTGAAATATAGCGTGTATATTCTTACGAATCTACTCCGATGTCTCCCGCTGGAATAATGAATAAATTCCCTATCGAGCCACTAATTTGGAAGATTATACGGTCCGGTAAATAATTTTCGGAGAAAGTCCATAAAAACTCTCGCGAGGAACCTACACACGACGTGTACTTTAAAGAACGATGTGACTTTGTCCGGAGAAAGCGTGTGCGTGGACCACGAACGGATAACATGAAATTCACGTTGGAATAAAATAAAAATTCGTACACAGGATCGTTGGACGGTTTAATTAACCTTAATCCGAGCTTCGAATGCGCATTCGGAGTTCGGTGACTGTATCGGTTGAACGAAATCAACGGTTCCGTACCCTTCGTGAGCCAGGCCAAGAATCGTCAATTCCTCATTTGCATATTAACCCCTCGTGGACGGACTCGGAATCCTGACTTAACGCCTTTTTGCCGTTTCGCCCTTCGCACAGGGGAATCGTAAAACTCCAGACAAATACGCGTATTATCTCCGTTTTTGCGATACAAATGGCGGGAAACGGAAACGTCGGGTTGCGGATCCGGACGGTATCTGACCGGGTCACGTCGGGTCGGACTCTGAACCGGAGTTTCTTTCAATCGTTCGCGAAAAAATGGCGCTTGGTACGTTTTCTAGCGGGCCTTTATCTCGATGCAACGTCCATAGAGAGAAGAGTTTAACGGTAAACGGTCCCCGTTACTTTTCTAATCGGAACCGATGCGCCTTCGAGACGCGATAATTCGCGAAATACAGGTAACCACACTCTCGGTCACGCTTCCTTCCGGTTCACGGTTTCCGGGGAAACGACGGAATTAGAGTTTTATCGCGGCTTCGACACGGATCGACGACTCGAAAGCTGCCGAGAAGTTGCGTGGAATCTTGTGTCGTTTAAATGGAACGGCTCTACAGTCTTTGACTCTCGATAAGTTTTGCATTAAGTGATTAGCCTGCGTAATTATGCCCTCGTATATGTCTTATGGAGCTTTCCATTGATTGTCGGTCTTTGTTATTGAATTTTAGAAAGTGGTACGATATTTTCGTGTAATTGTATAACATACAAACTATATGGTGTTTCATTGTTCGAATGTCCATTGTGTTAATAATGCAAAGATATTAGAGGTATACGTTACAGATGAAGAAATGGATATTCATTTTGTCTTTATAGGTAGTTTCTTATTTTCAATAACTTTCAATTGTCTATTTCTATATTGTGTTACTACACATGTTACTCTGAAAACATATTTCAGTTCGTTGACATTTATTATTACACAATTATTTTACGAAATATGTGTGAATAATTGTTCTGTCGAAACAAAATTCATTTAAACTGAACATCGATAATTAAGTTTAGAGGTAACGAGGACCGTTGCATAGATCGATATTAATAATTAAAATACCTTGAATCAACATAAATTTAAAACAGAAAAACCAAAGTTATTTAAAACTCAACCTAGTAGTCTAATTGTTCAAAACAGCAGAAACAAACTGCATAAAGTAAATGTACTAAAGAACAATTCTGACATAAGAGGGTCATTTCATCTCGAAAAATCAGAAGACATGAGATTTCATCGAAGATATACAACCTATCAGGGATTAAGGCTCTCCTTTCCGCGAATTTTTCTTCTGTCTTCAAAGGTGAACCTCGAAGCTGTACTCGCAGAAGCGAACTTCCGAGGCCGATTCGTCCGGTCGATATTGCCGACGCCGTAGCCACAGCGTTTACGATATTATAAATCAAACGGTGGCGCGTTTAATCGCCGAATAAAGGGAGATTAAATCGGCGGCGAAGGTTCCGGGGATTCTCGTCGGGAGATTTTCAGCGCTCGCGACGAGGACTCGCGACGGCAACGTGTCCGCCGGTGGAAAATGGCGCGCGCATAAAATTCACGCGGCAATATATACCTATCCGTGCTCGAACGGACGAATGTAAATCATCGGAGCGTGTAATTAAAGCTGGATTAACGACGTAGGAATGATCAGAACCAGGGGCGATTTATTTGCATTTAAACCGCTTATTGGTCTCACAGGGGGATTTCCTAAACCACGATGCGTTGAAATCTTAACAGCATCAAAGACGTCCATCGCATACCATTACGATATTTAGACGTACATTGTACAAAAAGAAAAGAAAAATAAAACAACGATCTATGAAAACGTTTTCTTTTTTTTTTCCGTTCGGAAATGATGCAATTGCAATTACGGATTCATTGAATGGTTATTAGTGTTTTCTGACAGTAAATGCTGGAAGCGACGTTACGCGTCGTGTTTATCGCTGTTGACGACTTTATCGGATAAAAAATATTCGAGTTCTAGATTATACGTAATTTATGACTTGTATGTTGATATTGTCTGGTCATAGTTTCGTGATCTCATTGAGACGGTAATGAAACTTTGAACGGTTGTAATTGTGCATCGAGGGATAGGAGAGTTCAGGCGATGTGTTGCGCGCAAAATGGCGATACGTCCCGGTGTCTGGTTAGAATCCTACGGCGGATTTCGAAAGTGGAACGTCTCAATTTCAATCCATACAAATCGAGTCAAACGTTCTACGATCTAAGTTTCCAGTCGATCGACCAATTACGAAGTGACGTGAGCCGATCATCGATCGATTCCACCGATTTCCTAAATCCTCCATATACGATAATTCGCTAACGTTCTTCTCAACAATCGAAACATAAATATCCTTGATTTCTTCATCGAGCCGTTCAATAACGACCTCCCCTAATACATTCGCTGGCATAACGAATCCCGCGCAGCGTACGATTCCCACAAGTGGCGCAAAGGGTTGCGCCCGTTCGGTCGTCCTCGATTAACTTTCGAGCGCCTGAGGAAAATCGTGCGTGGAGAAGTGTAAGGAGCGTCACAGTTAAAAATTGGATCGGTCACGGGACGAGGAGACGAACAATGCAGATCTGGGTCCGTCAGCCAGTGGCTTCCTTCAATGGGAAGATAGGAGGTGTCCTCGGGATGCCGCGGCGAGAAAGCGGAGCGGGTTCGCCTCTCGTGGGGCTAAACTGTCGCGATAAATGATCCTGAGGAAGGTTATTAATTGTCTTTGACTTCCAACCGGGCGCTTTGTGGCTCGCGAAAACATATTAACCGAAAAGAAGCTGCCGTCTCTGCTCCCCCCTCTGTCCTCCATTCTGGCCATATGCCTATGGGAGTCGTGCGTGTGCACCAGTCTGGTCCGTGACGATCCCTGGATATACATTCGAGTGTCTGCTGCGCGTACACAACGATTCAGGGCATCATTTTTCAAGGATACTCGATCGAGACGCACCGTGGGCATCATCCATCAAACCGATCGTTAAAAATGCATCCGGAACCCGATACAAATTGCGCGACCTGTATATACGTATATATACCCAGGCATATTCCGAGCAGCACTCCAGTTTCCCTTTCGTGAAGCTTTCCCTGAATCTGTGCGTCCTCCTGGACGGGTCGT